CACGCAGACTACTACTATATATTCACAGTACTTTATGTGTTTAGAATTATCGTAAGATATTTTACAGTCCGTTTCACAATTATTGTAGGAAATTTCACACTCTGTATTCACAGTTACCGTACGATATAAATTGTGTTAAGGACGCTACATCACTGTCTACGACCGTCAATTCTTTACAATTGCGAAAAATCCGACTATATGCCAATATCAGATTTAATAGGAAGCGAAATATTTTTTTAATCACGGGGATCATAAATACGATCGATCATACTCAGGGCGGCTGCGCACTGTGTGAAAACCATGAGACAGAAATCGAACAACAGAGGACGCATGCGCGCGGCGTTAGGCCATGAAGTATCTCATTTATCTTCACGCACGGGCTTTAGCTAGGTCTACGTGCGCAGCGTCACCGCGCAGAATTCATATGTTACGGAGACAAATCGCTTGACTGCAAGGCAATCGTAATAAATGTAGATGGCTTTTCGTCTGGATGACGATCGTTACGATACAGCGTGATTAGTTATACCGGCATGGGAGAAATACTCTGCATCCGAGTACTATATATAAATAAAGTAATAAATAAATAAATAAATAAATATTGTATATATATATATATATATATATATATATATATATATATATATATATATAAATACACGGCCATCAATAAAGACATGTGTATCTGTATGTAACACAATGTGCAATATAAATATATAGAATAAGGTGTCGCATAGTTTAAAAAACAAGCTTTCGATACAGCATGTCTCTTCGTCAACTACACGTGGAACGCCCGCCCCTCAAAACAGTAATGTTTGTACTCGTGGCCAGACATGCTCCTACGAATATTCTCGCTTTAACATATATGATACATTTTAATATATTTCTATTTTACATTTCATACACCCATCTCTCTTTATTTATACATATGCATTACAGATGCATGACTATATACTGTGTGCACGCTGATCGCGCGCGTGCGTGTGTGAAAAATTGCGTGCGCATGTGCCTGCGTACATGCGTGCGTGTGCGTACGAATATGAGTACGTGCGTGAGTGTGCGTGTGAATATGCGTGCGTGCGTGAGTGTGTTGCAAACACACTTCTACAGCGGGGACGTGCGCAGATGCAGAGAATGGACGGACTCACAGCATCACGATGTGAGCAATCGATCGCGATTTCGACTCGCTATTTGATATATATATATATATGTTTTCAGCGTGCACTCGCTTCATATCATACGGACGACATTTCAACAGGAATTTCATCGTTTTGTACATGTTTGCTTAACATATTTGTTCTCCCCGTGACCTACATTGCTGTTTTTCTCGTGTCTTCGTAAACTCACTTGTTAGCGGAACATTAAACTCGAGTCGTGCTGGTTACCTCTAGTCGACTGATTACTGTTTGTTAACGATTCTCACGCGCCAGCTTCCATGCCAGGTCAGCAGCGTAACCGGTCGCGACGGGTCACCGCTCATTTTTCAGTCTTAGCCGTAGAACAAATATGCTAGACTGATGATGATGATGATGATGACGATGATAACGATGATGATGCTTTTTTGTTGTTTCTGTTGCTGCTCTGTTACTGCTCTGTTGCCGTTGTTGATATTGTTGTTGTTGTTGTTGTTGTTGATAATGATGATGATGATGATGATGATGATGATGTTGTTGATTATGATGCTATTGTTGCTGCTACTGTTGTTGTTGTTTCTGCTGCTGCTGTTGCTGTTATTGCTGCTGTTTCTGCTACTACACACGTGAACGCGCGCAGACATGCACGCACGCACACACAAAACACACACGCGCGCGCACTGAGAACTGTGACACTAGACCTGGATATATGCACATCGTATACTGCCTGCTGTCACGTTCTGTGCTCTTTGCGGATGATTCAAACATTCGTCTACGTTGACAACCGGGTGCACGAGCCTTTACTAGCCCTCTCTCTCAGAGCAGCTAAATTACCGCACAGTGGATAACAGTTGCGGTCTTCGCGGCTGCAGTCGCTACATTAGGAGTGACATAATATAGGTTTAACAATATATATCAATAATTACGTCACTCCTGATTGCATTATCGATGCAAAGCCGAGATTGCGTCCCCGTGAACTTTCGCACCACCCGATCCCGCCGCAGCCTGCCTCGTAGTTTAAGTCGTGGAGGCTGGCGACGGGGGAAGAGCAGATTCGATTTCCGTTACAATCCTTCTTCGTCGGCTACCCGAGCACGTGACGTAATGAGCGGTACAGACGACGGGCGCGCGCGAGCGAGAGGCTCCGCCATTATTCAACAAGGCACGCTGCGCACTATGCGCCCGCGCGCACATGTGCATGTGGCCATCCTTGCCTCTGTGTTTATATAAGCGTTGGCATCAGATTTGGACAGGCAGCCGTTTAAATATTGCACGAGCTCTGTCAATCAGCGTGTGTTGGATGTGCCTGGGTACGGTGGAACCGGGAGCGACTGTTTATGTACTGTAACGAGGGCTAGGACTAGGTGATTCTTGCGATCGTTCATACGCGAGCATTTGCACATAGGAGAGCTATTATCATTTATGTAGAAAATAAAAACGATTGATAGTTTGCCTGTTTATGATTCATTGGCAAATTATTATATCACATATTCTTATTTTACCGATATATTTGACACATTAATACACGCACCACGCTCACACCCACACGTATCTTCATGTACGAACACTCATATGGGATGGCATGGTCTACAATTTCGCCTAACCTTAAACTTTATATCTGGCCGAAATTCTGAACCATATTTCCTACACTTAAATATCTCCATTTACCAATCTATTCTTATATCTACTTCGAACTCTGATTTACTATTTATTTTTAAATCATTCGCGGCCCATGCATGTGATTTCATATCTAAAAATTATTGGTTTACTCAATTAATTGTAATATATTTATTGATATTTATATTCAGAATATAACTTAACGTCGACGTAAGTTCGTCTTTCATAGCTACGTAAAGGAATGACGCGTGTAGCAACACGAACGAACACGACGAGATGAATATACGCGTGCTGCTTGATTGCACACATCGTATACGCAGCACACCTGTAATCCGTACCTGTGACCAGCAGGAGCAGCAGCTGCACGGCGATGCCCCAGCGCAGCATCGGACCGTCCAAGATGGCGGCTGCCATTTTCTCTCGCACGGAGAACCGCCTGCCACAGGACTACTGCCGAGCGCCGACGATCGCAATCTTGCGACTGAGATAGCGTGCGTCGGCACGCGTCGCTGCGCCGCTACGCGTCACGCACCCCCGTCGGTGAGCGACGCCCGCAGCGCCGACAATAGCGTAACTATCACCGTCGTCGCCATCGTCGTGTCGCTCGTCACAAGCGTCCGATGTTTGCGTGCGTGCGTCAGTGCGTCCGTGCGCACGCGTGCGTGTGTGTGCTGGAATCACTATGACCTTGCGTCGACTGACAGCGACAGCGCGTGTGTGGGCACGTCTTTATGTCTGTCTGTGTGTGCGTGTGTGGTGCTCTCACGTTCCGCCACATCGATTGATAATAGATGCCGGTAGTCTCCTGCTCTCCGCCGTATATAACCGGGTTCCTGCGCATGCGCACGAACGCGTTTTCATCGACCTGCGAAGCTGAGCGTGCGCATTGACGATGCAGCGTCGCTTCGGATGCAACGTCACACGTCGCTTCGTCGCGTCACGTTACCTTGCGTCGCGCCCCGACGCCGTAGACTGCAATTTAGATAGGAGGGTTTTTACGTGCCATCCTACATACACTCGCAGCAAATACTCTGTTATACTCTCGCCTTTGCTTGCGTGGGCGTGCATTCATACGTTCGCGCGTGGGCGAGCATGTGGACAAGCATGCGTGCGCCTACGCTCGCGGGGTAAGTGAGTGCATAGCTAGGTGCGTGCGTGCGTGCGTGCGTGCGCGCGTGCGTGTGTACGAGCATGCGTGCAAGGCTTATTTAATTGATTGTCCACCAGTGATCGATAAGGACATGTTAAAACTTTTATGTCGCATGTATAGCGTTATAGCTTACCATATAGATTGAAAATCTGCAAAACGAAAAAATCTGAATTATCATAGTATATGTGCAAAACAGCGTTTTATTCTGGATTCGCAAACAACACGTTGCATACTGTGGAATTCATGTACTCAATTTACATAGACTAGAATCAAAGCAAGTAGAACCAACAATAAGCCATGCAAGAATTTACCACGTGCTAGTCCTGGTGTGAGTGTCTAGTCAAGATATGTGCGTGAGCTATGAGATGTAAAACTATGTTAACAGGAAATATGGCTCTTTGCACCCCGAAAACATATTATAAACCATAATGTTTCGTCGACCGCTGCTGATGGCTTGTATAAATACCCGGAGCCATTATTTTATAGCAATAGTTATTCGTTAGTACAGCCGCGGGTTCAAATAGCAGTATTTGGGCTTTAAAAGAATAGCGTTTCTCGCAAGAATTACAACATTCTGGCCATTCCCGTCGCAGCAACGAATAATGTAACGAAATCACAGCAATCACAACACAGCCATTGACCGATCGACGATCTATAATTACATGTAAACAAATACTCGATCAATAACAAATAACAACAGCGAATATATGATAACAACGAAAATATATAGTAAGAACGACAAACATAATGATCAGTGTCGAAAATGGCGCCATCAGTGAGCGGTATTCGGCGCTGTGAGAACGACGTTGAAGGCTCGGCCTCTTCAACCCGTGCGCCACGCATAGTACTGCTATTCAATTTCAAAATGGCGTATTTCGCTCGCCGTGCGAGCAGACGTGATGATAGCAAAGCATCGATAGAATTGGAATGGCAAGAGCTGCGACCATCGCATCGTTTTTGCGAACTACGGAACGTTCGTGAACGATGAATGGATCATTTTCGGGGTCGCACGCGTAAGTCCAAAGAGCGCTCGTCGCCGCCATGATGGTTTTCCGCAGAGACCGCGCCTCAACGTCGTCCGCGCAGTTTCTGCACTCAATAACCTGCAAAAATACATGCGATCGTCGCACCACATGTTTTCATTCTAGTCTAAATGTTAATTTACGACGATCTATTAGATCACCATTCGTATACGCTTCGCAACAATGCATGCATACATACATACATACATACATACATACATACATACATACATACATACATACATACATACCACGCACGCCCGGAGACCACGCCGCCGCCGCGCAACAGCACAGCAAGGCACTCACGCACGCACGCACGCACGCACGACCACGCACCCGACGCACGCACGTTACGCACGCACGCACGCACGCGCGCACGCACAGGCACACCCACACACACACACAACACACAAATATACACATGGATATATATAGATATATATATATATATATACACACCCCGTACAGACTGCAAATTTGATATGATATCAAACTGGTGCGGTCAGGCGCGCGTCAAATTTTTGCATGTGAATCCACACATGCCCGCTCCTAATACGCGCTGGCCCGCACCCAATTTGGCCCCGCAAATGAAGGAGGGCCAGGCCCGGGATAACTAGCCGCCGAAGCCAAGATAGCCCGCTGTGTTGTGCGTGTCTGTACGCAAACACGCGTGCCAAATCCTGCTGTCTCACAATACGTAGCGCATAGCCTTATTAACGGTCACGTAAAAGTACAGCATATCTGTCTCGTCGATGACGTGGCAAGCTGAACCTAACCAATAACTGTAACACCGTGACTCAGTTGATGTAGGATAAATTTGCAGTATGTCTGCTACGATTTGTTGTGCGGCCTGCGCCTGCCACACGGTTGATGTGGATCAAATTTTGCAGCTGTACGGGTATCAATTAAATAAATGAAAAATACAATAAATATATATATAGTTATATAAACTCAAACCGTGCAATGACAAAGCTCCCAAGGGATATCATTACTCCTATAGAATCAAAATCATTGTTTTTAAAGCGCCCAGTACCGACGAAGTCACCCGCGCGCAGTTAGCAATCGATTGATTTTGACTAATTCTACATTAACACACATCACACGACTGTTTGTATTGCACGTCCACGTCCGGAGCCTACCCCCCTCCTCACGGCCCCAGAGTGTCCAGCCGCCATAGGTCCCGAGGTCTCGGCCTGTGGTCCGTAGCCTCCACGTCCGTGGACCATAACCCCCACGTCCGTGCCCGTATTCCGCGCCGTCCGCGTACCAGGTAGGCCCCCACGCCGAGTCAGCAATCACATACGCGCTTTGTGGTCAGCAAACCAATACCTTTGTGGTCATCTCCCGTAACCGTTTGTGCATTCGTCCGTAAACCACGTCGCCGAGTACCTCCACGTCCGGTGACAAAACCCCGCACGCCCGCGCCCGTAGCCCAGCCGTCCCGTGGCCCTATCCCCACGACCGTTGGTCATCTCCTGCTAACCATCTTGGGCATACACTCCCGTAATCCAATTGTGCATTCCTCCCGTAAACTTTTGCCCGAACTCCCCCCCGATCCGTTGCATCTACCATAGCCCTTGTGGCATCACTCGTAACCTTTGTGTCCATCTCCGTAAACCTTTGTGCCGTACGCGCCACGCTCCTCGCCCGTAGCCCCCTACGTCCGTGGTCATTCTCCGTAAAGCCTTTGTGGTCAGCTCCGTACACCATACTGTGGTATCATCTCCAAGCCCTTGTGGTCATCCTCGTAATCCCTTGGGTCATCTCCGTAACCTTCTTGGGCGTAGCCGCCACGCTCCGCCCGTAGCCCCCACCTCCGTGTCATCTCCGTATCGCCTTTGTGTCCACTCCATAGCGCCTTGTGGTTCATCTCCGTAACCCTTGTGTCATCTCGTAAACTTGTGTCATCCTCCGTAACCTTTGTGGCCGAGCCGCCCACGTCCGCGCCAGAGCCCCACTCCGTGTCCGTAGCCCCACGACCGTGTCATCTCCGTAACCAGCTTTGTGGTCATCTCCGTAACCCTTGTGGTCATCTCCGTAACCTTTGTGGTCATCTCCGTAACCTTTGTGGCCGTAGCCGCCACGTCCGCGCCCGTAGCCCCCACGTCCGTGGTCATCTCCGTAGCCTTTGTGGTCATCTCCATAGCCTTTGTGGTCATCTCCGTAACCTTTGTGGTCATCTCCGTAACCTTTGTGGTCATCTCCGTAACCTTTGTGGCCGTAGCCACCACGTCCGTGGTCATCACCATAGCGTGTCCAATCCTCCGTAACCTTTGGCCACGCCACCGGACACCGCGTGGTCAATTTCGAACCTTGTGGTCCATCTCCGTACCTTTGTTGTCATCTCCGTAAAGAAACCTTTGTGGCATGTCATCCGTACACCGAGCGCCGAACCGTAGCCTCCACGTACACCGTTGGACCAACCCCACACGACATCCCCAGCGTCCGGTAGTCCCCCACGTCCGCTCCGTAGCCCCCACGTCCATGGCACTCCGAGCCCTTTGGTGTCATACTCCAATAAGACCCCCCATGCCCACGCCACTAGTAACCTCCTCGTCCGCGCCATACCCAATGGCTCATCTCCGTGTGCAAGGTGAAAATGCCTAGGAGAGATAACGTTTGCAGTTTCGTTTATAAAACATTACCAATGTTAATGCAACAATCTGACTTGTAGGACACCGCATCCTTGATTCAATGAACTGGTGAAGTATTTAGATGCGAATGCCTAATCGACCATGATATTATATCTTTACACTACGTAAAGTCTTGTACGTGTGCTTGACTTACCACCGCAATAAAAGATAATAGAACTAGGCTGCTTCCTGCTGTGACAAACATCCCTGCTCAAGTATTATCTCTTGTTGCAGCCTAACAATGATACGTACTGGTGTGGACTGAAATAATTAACAAAGTAGTCCGTTATTAGTTTTGTATTACAAACTGATTACCATCATCTAGCAAAATTTCAGCACGAATACCTTTATCCATCATCCACCATCCTCACTCTTCCGTTCGTTCGTCAGGTCTCGACCGCCCATCCATAGCCATCCACACATCCATCTGTCCGTCCGTCTTCTGTCGTCCGTCCTTCCGTCCTATCCCGTCCAGCAGTCGCAATACCATTCCATCATCCATCCGTATCATAGATATCCATCCACGGAGACCGTCATCTCATAGCCACCGTCCACCCATCGCCATCTATACACCCGTCCGTCCGGCTCACCAACCAGCACAGATCACCTCACACCTCGCACGCAGCGCACATCACGGCGCTACACAGCTCGCGGCGCGGCATCGCACGTACTGCATCAGCCCTCACGCCCATCCGTACACCCATGCAGCACAACATCACAACATTCAGACATTAATGAAAAAATACATGAAGAAAACGTAAGCATTGCCTACTCTGTGTGTCTTCTCTTTCCGCTCTCTCGCTCTCCTCGCTCTCCGCCATCTCTCTCTCTCTCTTCTCCTCCTCCTCTCGCTCATTTCTCTCTCTCCTTCCTGTCATCTCGCATCGCCTTTCTCTTCCTCTCTTTCTCTCTCTCATCTCCGTCTCCATCGCTCTCGTCTGATCTCTCTCTCTCCACCGCACGCCACAACCGTCGCACTCAGCATCGCGCACCACTCTCTTCCTCTCATCCTCTCTCTCCTACTTTCTACTCCTCTCCCCACTCGAGTCTCCTCTCCACACAACACAACACTTCCCACACGCGGCATCAACGCGCTCTCACACTTACCACAGTCTCTCTCACACACACGACCCTTCCCACTAGTCACTCACCCCGAAAATCTCTCGCTCTCCCTCCGAGCTCTCTCTCTCTCTCTCTCTCTCTCTCTATGTTGTTCTATCTCTCGTTCGATCGCTTTCTCGCGCCCTCTCTCTCCGGCTCACGCTTTCTTCCATAGCGCTTCGTACCTTCTCTAGCTGGGCGTCCTCTGCGCCTGCCGTCAACGACTGCAGTTATGGCAGGTGAACTCTGGTCGAGGATTTTATACTGGACCACTCTCATTGGCACCCGCATTTGCTATTAATTAGACACATTAATTAGAAGTAAACAGAGGTGAAACGCTGCTTAACCTCACTGACACAGTATTTGAATTTCGGAGAGTACGAACGCCGCAGCATGTGGGTCAGGCAGGTTAAAGAACGGTAATTGGGAGTCGTCTATTTGCCTGGTGAGTTCGCGCGGCCAGAGCTGCATAGACGTGCTATTGTTTAGAGCCAGCTTACGCCAACACGTTTCGCCGCTCGCGTGTTGACGCACGCCGTGTTATTACGCGCGGTAATGGTGGATGGCTGCAAGTACTAACGTCAACCGACGTGACTTGCCCGTTGTCCCGAGGTGCGCTCGCTCGATTAGAAACTAGCATCGCAAAATTCGAGATGAGTTGTAGCCTATATGCATAGGAGTTAAATCGATCTCCGCCCATCCAAGTGTAGCAGGCCTATGTGGCGGCCGTAGAGTAGTATCTCACAAGACAGATAATATGTATATAGATTTTATTTGACAGTCAGAGAGGCGTTTGACAGCGAAACATGGAACCGAGAGAGGCGCTCGCCGTAGTTCTGCCCTTGCAGCTAGCCCCGTAGAGCTACTACAGCTGCTGCAATGTTCATCTGTGTCTATCTATTACTATATTAGTGGTATCTTCGGCATAATTTTCCAGGAAACGATTGCTATCGCTGTAACAATAACGATATAATTGTGATAAATGGGGTTTATTTGAGTAGTGTCAACGTTATCACGCCAGCAGGGACATCCAATCATTTTTAAAGAGAGACATCGGGGTTCCTTTAATGGTAACCTACTGCGATCAGTATTTGGTCCCATTTTTGAACGTAAAATTTTAACAATATGCTATTTCAATTAGCTCAGGGAAGTTAGCTCCCAGTTCCCAGTTCCTTATTCGAATAAGGAACTATCTGGTGGAGAAAGAGGAGGGGGAGAAGCTGGTGAAAAAGGAGGAAGGGGAGAAGGAGGGGGAGAAGGGAGCTGGTGGAGGTGGAGGGGAAGAAGGGAGAAGCTGGTGGAGAAGGCCGAGGGAGAGAAGCTGGGGGAGAAGGAGGAGGGGGAGAA